GACCTGACCTAGGGTGGATTTTATATTGGGTTTTAAATATTCGGAAGACGCAACATTAAAATTCGGTTTAATTCGGTTTTAAGGGGGGGATTGTATATATGTTAATGGTTTTAAATATGTTGTGCGCCGCCCTGAGTCCCTGTCGGGAGAAGGGCGGCATATAAATTAAATTAAATAAATAAATAAATAAATAAATAAATAAATAAATAAATAAATAAATAAATTATTATTATTAAGTCTATATTTGATTTTACACGTTACAACAGCAGCGAGAATCATCTTTGCGCAATATTGGAAGAATGAAGGACTGCCATCAGAGGAAATAATCAGAAAAATATTGGAATGCGCAGAGATGGACAGATTAACTATGACATTGAAAGACAAAGAAGACACAGACTATTACCAAACTTGGGATTTATTTTATTGTTGGTTAGAGGAAAGAATGAAGGATTCGAAATTGAATATGTATTAGCATAGCTGAGCTCAGACAGCTCGTGGGTTGAAAAATTAACATATGTATGTAAAAGAAAACCAATAAACTCTTTATGAAGGCATACCAGCTAAGCAGCTTGGAAAAAGACCCTTCCTGAAGCTTTAGCAGGGACACAGTTGGGATCCGTTGAGTGAAGTTGCAACTTGGCCATTCAAACTTTTCGGGAAAGCGCAGACAATGTCCTGCTTGGAGGACAAATCAACGTTGTCTCCCTGGACCCAGTTTAAGAGAGCCTGCATGCGGCAGTCACACGCCCATGGGTTTCCGGAGAGATCAAGAGTGAACTTGGAAGACACATTGAGAAAGGAAGGCTCCAGGGAGGTGATTTCATTGGTGGAGAGATCCAATTGTCCCAGATCATTCAATGGCTGGAAGAGCCCAGCCGGAACGTGGGTCAGGCTGCAGTTCCTCAGGTTGAGCCCCCACAGCCCGGAATTCCCGTGGAAAGTCTTAGGGGTGATAGACCGGATTGGGTTATTGTTCAGGAATAAAAATTTTAAATAGGGAAGGCTGTTGAACAACTTTGGAGACAGACAATGGAGGAGATTGGAGGACAGGTCCAGGGAGAAGAGGTTTGTCAGCTTCTGGAAGGAGGAACCTGGGATCTCCTTCAGTTCGTTGTGGTCGAGGGACAAGAAATTGAGGTTCTCCAGGGTTTGGAACCAGGAGGGGTCCAATTCAGCCAGCTGGTTTTTACTGAGGGATAAGTGGGCCAGGTTAATTTCATGGGTGAAGATCTCCGGAGGCAGATCTTTTAAGAGATTACTGGAGAGATCCAGGGTGTGCAGTTGGGGGAGGTTTTTGAAGAGGCCACTCGGAAGGGTCTTCAGCTGGCTGTTATACAGATGAAACCTCTGTAAGTTTGGGAGACCCTTGAGGGCCTCCGAACCAAGGCTAGAGAGCTGGGTGAACTGAACGTAGATCGTCTGGGTATCACTGGGGAAGCCGGTGGGAAATTCATGGAGAGAGGAAGAGTTGCAGATAAATGCTTTTTCTAAAATAAGAAAGGGCTGGCACTGAGGGACCAGCTGGGCGAAGCTGCTGAGGGACATCACAAGGCAGGCAATCAGGAGAGACGGAGCCGAAGACTTCATCCTGGGGAGAAGCAGGGAGAGAAAGAGAGAGCATCGCCTTAAGCTTCACTTTCACACAGGCCACAGCCAAGGCCCGTCTCCCCACCCCCCATTTCTACCTTTTCTGCCTTTTCCTTCTGTTCAATTCCACCCTCATCAACCTATTGCTCAATCTATTGCTCTCCTGAAATGTCTGCTGCCCTTCCTGGCTGGGTTATTTCCAAATGTATAAGGGGCTGGAATTGGGCATGTCCAGTTTAACGAAGAGAAGGACGAGGGGGGACAGAATAGCCGTCTTCCAATATCTCAGGGGCTGCCCCAAAGAGGGAGTCAAGCTATTCTCCAAAGCGCCTGAAGGCAGGACAAGAAGCAACGGATGGAAACTCATCAAGGAGAAAAGCAACCTGGAATAAGGAGAAACTTCCTGACAGTTAGAACAATTAACCAGTGGAACAACCTGCCTCCAGAAGCTGTGAATGCTCCAACACTGGACGTTTTTAAGAAGAGACTGGACAGCCATTTGTCTGAAATGGTATAGGGTTTCCTACCTGAGCAGGGGGTTTGACTAGATGACCTCCAAGAAGGTCAGACTGGGCTGAGGCTGGGGACTGAAAGGGTTATCCAACTCTTTTCCTTCCCTTTCTCCTTCCTTCCATTTTTCTCTTTTCCCTCCCACCCTCCTTTCCTCCCTCCCTCAATCCCTCCCTCCCTCCCTATCTCTCTCCCACCCCTTCTCCTCCCTTCCCTTCCATTGACCTCCCTCTACATCTCCCATCTTCTTCGGGATCCAACATTTCTGTTTGTCAATTAGAAAATCTTATAGATTAGGAATTTGGATGATGGGAAATCAAACCAATTCTGCCTTTTGCAGATGGGATTCAGCCCCCTTGATTGTGATTCCCACCCTCCCTTTGGTTTTTTGTTCCTTCCTTCCTTTCCTCCTTCCTTCCCTCCTTTTCTCCCTTTTTCATTATTTCATTACCAATAATTGACAGGCGCCTGCAAATAGCTTACTGGAGAGTCACTGTGGAAAAGGTTGTTTTTAAAAAAAAATAAAAATAAAATAAATTATACGAGGCAGGAAATCCATGTAGGTTTAAAGAAACAACTCCCAGTATCTCTTGGGTGCCTGTCGGAAGATTGAAACTGTGGCCATCAAGTCGACGCTTTTTCTTTCTTTTTCCCTCCTTCTTTTCCACATTTTTCCCTTCCCTTTTTCCTCCCTGGATTTTCCTGTTATTTGCTTTCGTATTTTGTCTTCTGTTATTTATATCAGTTTATACCATAAGCTAATCAAATGTAAATTAAAAAGAAACCGTTGCAGTCTAGGGCTCTAAACGTTTGATTTTCATATTTGGGGAAGAAGAATGAAAAATTAAGCAATATCCTTTGTGGAAAAGAGTTTCCCAATCTGGTCTGGACCAAGGGTCGGCAACCTTGGCTCTTTCATGACTCGTGGACTTCAACTCCCAGAATTCCTGAGCCATCCACGCTGAGGGGAAAGGGAGAGGTTTCCAAGCTCAGCCATGCTGGCTCAGGAATTCTGGGAGTTGAAGTCCACACAGTATTTAATATTTATTTGTT